TATTCTTATACAAGTTTGCATTAGCATCGCCAGATGGCGAAACGATATTTGTAATCGATTAATTTTTTGTACAGATGACTTTGAGGGTCTTTGGGAATTGGGCTTAGCAATCCCAAGGATCCGAGCACAATACACTGCGACACTTATATACATTTACATATCCATGTAAATGAAAAAAAAGTATGTGCTCCATTTACATTCACATATATACGTTTTTGTGGGCGATAACAATAAATATGTGTTTGAAGAAAGAAACGAAGCAAAATAGTCTTTAAGAATAACAACAAAAATAACAAGTAGATTTATATATTCAATCGAGCAGGCGAAAGCTGATCTTTGAATTAGATCCTTTCATTAAAAAGAACAATTAATTTATATTTAACAAAAAAATTGAAATAAATTCGTAAAGGAGTATATTTAATTATTAAATAGATTTATCTTCAAATTTAAAAAAAAAACAGTAAAGTATTAAAAATAATGTATCTGATAATATATAAGTACCTATAAACTAAGCTAGGTACTAGCTAGGTAAGCTAGATGTTTTATGTAACATTATATTAAATCTAAATATTATTATACTTTAATTATTAAGATCTAATTGTTTTGCTCGTAAGGGTCGTTCATTTGTTGTTTTTTTAAGCTAGGTACTTTTATTAGAAAAACAATATTTGTAAGACAATTGTATTTTTATTTCAGCGGAGCACAAATAATTTGTATTTTTTATTTCAAATATTAAAATTGACAACCAGTCTCTTATTTGAATCACAAAATACAAAAACTTTAATTTAAAAAATACAAAATACGTAATACTATAATCTTCATCTGCTCCGTTATTGAAAAATAAAATGTACTTGTATTGCAAATAATGTGTTTTAAATAATATCATTTCGAATACATGCCCAGCCCAGGCTGTAAAATCTAAAAACGCGCGATTGGCGCGATAAAAAAAAAAAATTCGTCGAGAAAGTACGTTCATGCTTGATCGGGAGCGAGAGGCGGGAGGCTGGGAGAGAAAACGGAGTACTGAAAGTATATCTACCGAACAGACCTTCTCTATCCGCCCCTCCCACCTCCTCTACCTCCCACCGCCTCCTCCTCCCGTTTCGCGCCTTTTCCACCCGCGCGCGCGCGCCGCGATTTGCGCCAATCGTACCCATTCGCGCCTTTCATCGTTGGTGGTTGGTGACGGTATGGCTTATCGCGTTTGACAAACGAATTAGAGACGACTGCCGGTCCCCCTATCTCCGGAGTATCGGCGCGTACATTCCGCCAGGAATATCGTTGGTGGTAATCGCGGTGTAACCGCGTTCGACCACGTTGTCTTATTATTAGTACGCGAAGAGTTTTCGTTGTTTTCGCGCGGAAAGTGATCACTCCGCGCCTATCAATGGGAGGGAAACGTCGCAAGTGAATCGCTCCTGTTGCTCTCGACCGACGACGAGGATCCCCCGATTGGCTCTATCCCTCCGACAACGTACACGTTCATGTATTTTTTTCCGTCCACGAGACAAATTCGCGTGTGCAGGGAAATCACGGGATTAAAGCGCGCTTTAAAAAGGCGAGCTTTGAAGGCTGGCAACCGGCATCTCCACGAAGGAATCACCAGATATCTACTTTATTATTTCAGGTAAATATCTCGCAAACAATGTATGATATATAGAATAAGGCATCAATACGAATTATGTGGATGATTCTTGGGATAAAATTCATATCTTTGTTTAGCAAATACATATAATTAGTAGAAAATATATAATTTACTGTACGTAGATTTGTTTCCAACAATCAGTTCTCCTTGGAACGTCTTTAGTATATAGATCTCTTTAGGGGGAATGAAGGACGTTTTTAGGAATGTCCTTTGGAAAACTGTTGTATGAGTTCCTTTTAGCTCAGCTTTTTTTGCATGATATTTTTTCTCTCCACATAAAAAAAAAAAAGAAAAGATACGAACTGTTCACCCAAATACACGGGAAGTTTAGATAAAGAGAAGTCAAATATTATATTCTGTATAATACAATTATAATATTTATATAGTAAGATAATGATCCATTATAGCATGTATTGAATCGGTCTTTCGATCGTGACTCGGCCACGAAGTGCGGTGTCAAGGATATAAACAGGATACAACAAATAACAACTTGAGATTTCATGTGGATTTTTTTTCGACCAGGTTTCGTCGTGAGCGTTTCAATGATCGAAGTTTCGAAGATCAACGCGCCACTGCAGGAGGAAAAATACGTGATGAAATTTTTCATCTAAATTTTCGAGAAATCTTTAATCCTACGATTTTTTTAAGTATGCTTGTGTGCGAAGATTTCGTGTACATACATGCTGAAATGTTCCACAATTAACGACTTCGTTTCTAAATCATCGCTCGCGATTCTCGAGTTACTGTAATGGTCTCACTCTAATATCGAATTCGGTTGTTTAATTGCATTATATAGAATTTATTTGAAAAATAAAGTATTCGTAATACATTTGTATCTTGTATTTTAAATTAAAAAGAATTTAAATTAATAAGAATGTTATAACATTCTTATTTTTTCATGAGTTAAAGAACGTGTTGAAATTATGAGAATCTCAACATTAATTTTTAATAATCTAATTGAATCTAATGTAATTCTGTAAGAGCTGGATCGAGAAAAAGTTTCAGCGGAGTACATTAAAGTATTTTACATTTTGTATTTCAAGCATAACACATAACGGTGTTTTGTATTTTGTATTTCAAATACTAATTCAAATAATAAGATTGACAATCAGTCTTATTATTTGAATTACAAAATACAAAATACTTTCAATCTTTCGACTTGAAATACAAAATACTTTTATGTGCTCTACTGAAATATGTTTAAAATATATTTCAAATGCTTGCCTATCTCTGATTGGATTAATGTATGTAGTATCTGAATGCAGTGATATCTATAACATTAATAAACTTTAACAATAAAATAATACATATAATTTTGTTAAATATAATAATATGATATATATAATATCATTATTAAGTATTTAATCGGTTAAAAAATTTATGTTTTTACATTTAACTGTTCTAATTTCATGTAGTAGTTTTTAGTATACACTAATGTAGTATAATACAAGAGATTGTGAGCTCGCTATAAGAAAAATTTCTATAGAATAGATTCATGATTGAAGTTGTGATTCGTGGCACACCTAGTATATGGTCGAGGTCGACGAGAAATATTCATCCCACTGGAGTTTCCGGGAAATGTAACGACTCGGATCGACTTTAACGGTTTCGGGAAGGGAAAAGATGCGATAAATATTTTTATTTAGGAGATACTGTTGTAAGAGTTCATATTTTGCATTAATTGAAATAATTTACAACTATTACAATAAATTACTCCAATCGTTTTCATTAATTGTAGATTTCCTCAAATTCAATACGAAAATATCGTTTATTTAATGATGAATTTTACTTGTGTAATTAGATTTTTTGTACGATCACGTACAAAGAAATTTTATTACCGGCACTATGAAAACAAAAATATGTGGTGCGTTTGTTGAAGTTTAATTTTGGTTCTTTAATTTTGTTAAAGGCGCTCCATTAAATTTTATAAACATAACATTTTTTAAATATTTTAAATTGCGTTCAAATTATACTAAAAATTTGTCAAAATTATAAAGAAATTAATGTGTTTATTACAATGATAGACAACAGTTCTTTTTACAGAGAATGTATAATAACATTATATTTGTAGCATTTGGAGTTTCTCGTATAATCGTTTTATAGTAACGCCGAATTTAACTTCATTTTTCAACATCTTCAGGAGATCATGTGAATCTCTTAAAAAAAGAACTAGAGATCAATAGATAAATTATAACCTCGAAATCATCACTTATATTAAAATATAAAAAATAAGAGTATATGCGCGATATTGTATAATGTAAATGATTGAACATGCATAAGATAATTAAATATACTTTGAATTGTAATAAAAATTCGTGCGAATTAATAACTGCAAATGAATAACGCGTTATCGCTATGAGTTCCTAACGCTATCATTCTCTTGTGTTTCTGCATCCTGTTATCTCGAACGAACCGTAAAAGCTAAACATTATAGAAGTCGACAATTGACTGTATTTTAAATACAGTTCACTGTTAGTATTAAAAGTCTATAGTGCAACTATAAATTTTTAGTAGGTACAATGAATTTTTGAGTACAGTCGTATACACATACATTGTTACAATAACGGAGCAAGACAAATTTTAAGGTCACTCTTACAATTAACAAGTCTTCACTAGTTAATAAACGTACGCAATTGTTAGTACACAGTCAGATAAAAGCTGCTGTTATGTCGGGAATCATTTCCTTTTGGAAACCACGTTAACCACGATTTATATAAAAATACTCCGATATTTCTCAAAAATATCCGCACTAAAGTATTACATACTTTAATCCTGATTAAAAATAACGAATTATAATAAGTAGTGGACAATTTTTAAGATTAAACAGGCACATATATGTCGCTATCGTGATGTAGTATTTCGTTCACCGTTAATTTCAAGGAAGTCTTTTCATAAAATGCGACTAGGCAAAATCGAGTATCATCGCGATAATTGGACACCCCGTATATACTACGCTCAACGACTGCCGAGGATGAAATCATATAACGACGATGATTCCACCAATTGGTGGCCCTTTGTGCATCCTCGATTTGGCATTTGCAATCTCAATTTGCGGCTCCTATAAAGCCGAGAGACGTATGTATGATTAACGACAAGTCTCACCGTTATTTCTCGACAATTTCTCGTAAACATCGCATTCCGTGATCTATTTTTCCGCTAGATTTCACGAGAGATCGCTGAGCATTACGTCACTGAAGAACTATCAGTTCTCTTTTATTTTTCTTCTAGAAGCCAACGTCGTGCCTGACGTCGATTCGACGATAAATTCGAGAGATCGCATTCTTATCTGCATTCGCCGACTTGGCTCGTTGAGAGCTGCGTCCACGCAAAGTAAACGTCGCCAACCAACGTCAGGATGGATGAAGAATCATCTTCTTCCGGAAGATCCCTCATCGACGCAATGAACATGGAATCGCCAATGTCTAACATTGCTAGCGATCTGTCGAAATCATCACTGGATTCCGGCAGTGCAAAGAAGCGTCACCTTCCACGTTCAAAAGGTATGTTGCAAAAGTTATCGATACGAAGAGATTGCCGTGTCTCTGTAACATAATTTAAGAAAGAGAAGTTTTATTGAAATTAGTATCATCCTACATTATTTTGATTTAGAGAGCAATCACTTAAGTCTCTTTCGAAGAGCTCAATAAATTGACTTGAAGTGTAACTTAATAGAGGCGACAATCTTTCGCGTCAATAAATTATAATCAACGTCAAAATTATACACTATGATTTACAAGAACAAGGAAAATATATTTGCATTATGATGTGATTGAAAAATATTAAATTAAGATTATTATGAATAAAAATTTGAATTAAGAATCACAAATAGGTAACATTGCTAAACAACGTTAAATTCGAAGTACGACTCGTTTTCACTCATAATTGGCAATTTTAATAACGGTAGGAACATTGCTATAGTTTACAATTGTAGTTTTTTTTATAAAATGATGAGTGGAGCGACATGGGAATCATGTTAATTATGGGCAAAGCGGATACTGATAGAGAGCGGAACCTGAGAGCCTTCCGAAAGGCGGGTTATTCGTTGGGGATTTCCCCGTCCTTCAACGATTTGTGAACGTCTGCCGCCGGTCTGAACCCCGCGATCGCGAGTTCGCAGCCTCAGTTGTCAGTGGTTCTCATTTACGCGATTCCAACATGATGATACTTCATATATTTCTTTAATACACATTTACTTTATTAATTTCATTAAATTTATTTTCAATGTAACGCGCAATACGTCAATAAAGATACATATGTATCTTTATTGACGTATTGCGCGTTATACTGAAAAAAATGTATTAAATCTTAATAACATTTCTTTGAACAATATTAAGTAAACATAAATTTACAGTAAATAAATACTCAATACAAAAAATGATAGTTAAATAAAATTAATATATTTATTTTTGTATAGTAAATAAACATGTGTTTATGTTAAGCAAATATTTACTTAGAAATATTCAAACAAATATTTATTAACGTTTAATTTTATTTTAAACGTTTGTTTATTTGGACGTTTCATTTGTTTAATTCGCACTTCTTATCGATAAAACGCGTATTTTGCGTAAATATTTCTAGGCAAAAATGTGATATTTATTTTTGTGATATTTATTTTCGAGCGATTCTAACTTTTTGGTAACCGTGATGTAGAGTTAATTAACTCGCGCGACGCGATCGTTGAGCACCCTCTCGCAACCGTGAGGCAAGTAGTAGCTCGTGCCGGGGTTACGAAGACCAGGTGCTCACCTGCTCCTTGTTGGGTGGCTGGTTAGGCTTGGCGCCCCCTTTTATTCATGCCCCCGGTAAAGCCCCGTGGAGGTTCGCAATGCGAGCGAACGGCTGGGCGCAGACGGTAGCGAGCATCCCTCGTGCATTGGGGACTTACGGTACTTAGCTGCTATTGGGATATCGATAGTCAGATAGTCTGATGACTGTTGATACATGGGAAAGTGCGATCAAACGTAAATATCTTACAACACTTTTTAAAGTTTATCCTTTAACAAAAAAAAATATATATTTACAGTTTCTTTATCTGATATCGTTTTTCCAAAATAGTAACACGCTTTTATGAAACTGAGACATACGTTTCTGGACAGCTCGGTTAATTCGCGCAATTATTGATGTAATTAATTATGACCTATTTATCAATATTATACTTAGCTTTTGTAATTTAAAATTGAGAGTTGTAATCGATCACTTACGTTTCATTCATATAACACTATGACGTGTACTTACGTAATAAAATTTGTATATTAAAATTTTATTTAAATATTTACATATTAGAATGTTTTTAAATAATTTTTTTATTTTATCAATTACCGTTACAGTAGAATTTTAGTTTAATTTGCACACAAGTAATGAAAATAATTAGTAATTAAAGAGGATAGCTCTATTCGCGAATAAACACACACACACAAGTCCGATAAAAATTTAGTGTTTAAACGCATCTTGCATGCATCGATACTGACCTACCCTCGTTAGACATCAACACATCGAGAGACCGTTAAGAATACAGCTGTCTTGCGCGAAAGACTAGGGTTCGTATTTCCGACTCCCTTTAACACTACGTTTAGCTCTAAAGGTGACTGACCGATTTCATATCTTATTTTCTTAATGCCATGATCCGAGTTCGATGACCCGAAGAAACGGAAAAACAACTGTTTACACATGTAATGAGTTTACAACTCTATAAACATTTATGACATATAGTCAAGAATGATAAGAGAGTAATAATTTAATTACTAACGCGATACACTAGTTTACTTAAGTCTTGTTTTTAATCCGTTCAGACGTAAAATGCGAATGGCTGCAACTTATTTATAGCTTTTTGTTGTGTATTAACATTATTATTCTTTAATTTAAATTTAAGTAAAAGCAAGAAACTTAAACGCGTGGAAATTCACTTTTCAAAGTTTTGCTTGTTTGAAGAAAGCTCGAAGAAAGTGTCAATTCACTTGCTAATAATAATTTTATTAAAACAACGGAGTTATAACAGTAAACGTCTGATATAAAGAGAAGTTTTTGGGTTTTGTTAAAATATCTCTAAAGAGATTTAGCTATAATAGATAAAGATTCTTTATCTCTGAAAATAATTTTATTGTGGATCATTAAAATAATTATGTAGGCTAAAATATCCAATTATACTGATAGTGTCCCAAATATTAACAATCTGATTTTAAACTACTTTTTAAATATATAAATTATAATAATTGTATTTAATTTTATTTATAAGTAGACTTTTTAAAATTTAAGTTTAGATACAATCAAACTAATTAATAAAATGTTAAAACTTTTTAGAACATTGTTCCTTATGTTTGAAATTCCTACGTAATTATCTTGATAGTCTCTAACAAAATTATTTTCAGATATGTATCTATTGAAAAAAAATTACTAAATCTTAATACCTACATATTTCTTTGAATAGTATTTTAACATTTACTTTTTAAATTAATGATTTTTATCAAATAAATTTTTATTAAATAAATATATGTTTACATTTGTAATAAATATTTTACTACATTTAAACAAATATTTATTAAAACTTACAATTAGTTTTTTCCATGTATCTAAATTTTTAAATACTTCTACGAAATCTTTCTATTTGTACGTTATCATATTTTGTTTCCTCATTTGCATACGAAGGGGCTAATATGGCCGCAATAATTCGAGTATAATAATCGATATACAGCGGCGGCGTTTTACATCCCAAATAGGGGCTTAATTCAACAGATCCCACATTACGCGAGTTATAGTCGGATTAAGAGACGTCGCAGGCGTTCGCAGCCGGCCACGATCTTTTGCACTCTTCGGTCGACGACGTTATCGCCGTTGCAAATGCCGTCGTGCAGCGGCATGGAAGTGTTGCGCCGCCACATGGCGCGTTTCGTTCTCGTCCGTTGCCTTGAAAGTCCGTTGCGCGAGGGGTACAACGACGACGGGGCGAACGGGGCACCCCTATATACTCTACCCGGCTCTAGTATTGAGCGGGCTATATCCGAGACGCGTGTACGTCCAATAGCCTAGGCACCATAGACAGATATACACACGCACGAAGCGTGCCGCTCGCGTGCAAATTAGGTAATTACCTGTGAACGCGCGTCTTCGACGATTGGCACGCTCTTTAGCCCTTTGGAAGAGTAATACCGATCTGCCATCGACTAATCTAGCAATCGGAATAGCAATCGTGTGGGGAGCCTCGCGTCAGGGGAGAACCGCTTAATTACACTTCTTAATTAACGCAACATACGGTTTCACGACATGCTGTCTTCGGAATTAGCGCGAGACTATTTATGATTCGTCAACTTCATGTAATCCTTCGTAGACATACTGCGTCTTTTTTTTACCCAGGCGAAATTTTATTCTGAATTTTTTTGGCACACATTTCAATTTTCATTAAATAAAGGTTCCAACATTTGAGTTAATTGTTTAGCAATGTAGTAGAGATGTCGGAAAGTAATCTTGAATTTTTGGAAGCCTAGAATAGTAAAGAGCTTGGCTAAACAAAAAAGTGCCTATGTAAATAAAAATTGTATATGCCTACGTAGAGTTAATATAATTATCATTAAGCTAAGTAAAATCTCGAGGTGTCTGAAATCAATAAACGACAGATAAAAATATACCACACAAGTTGAAATAATCCGCGATAAATTCATCGATGTATTAGTTATTATTTTCGTTAACTTTTTTAACACAATGTAATCAATTGGCGTAACACTTTATAATTTGTAGTTACATTGTTATATAATTAACGATTTTTCTACATTATTAATGCGTATAAAAATTGAGTGAGGTTCCGCAAAGGGCGCTTAATGGGGGATAGAGAATAAAAAAATACGACGGCAACCGTCAGCGCAGATGAGCGAATTGAACGGTGTAAGAGACGTTTCTTTGACCAATGGCTTTCCTATCAAGATTTAATATTTAAATGCCCCGAAATTTTATGCCATGGCAAAGCTGAAGGTGGAGGGATGAAGGGGGAAAGACCGACGAGGAAAAAGGGAGAAGAATGAAAGAGGTTTTGGTTCCTTGGGGTTCTCGGGGTCCTAAGCCATTAACATATCCTGTAGGGCCGGTAAGGCAGGTCTCGCAATATTTCGGAGAAGGCGAAGGTTGGCACTTTCGCAACCTTTAACGGTCGCGGGCCCGAATTACAAATCGCCTCGGGTACGGATTCGGTGCGAATTCCGTGGATGCCGTTGTTAAAAGCTGGGAACGGGAAGACGTGGCTCAGGGTGCGGCCAACATCGCAATTGCCAGGTGATACGTGTTGAACATCACTGGACGAATCGTATAGTTCAAACCTTCGACGTTTCACTAACATCAGGCTCGTTTTAATTAGTCGATGTGTACTCTCTAAAACTTTTAGAGTAAATCTCACTCTAAAGAGTGAAATCTCACTCTTGGGATTCGACTCTAAGGACTTCAGAGAGTGGAGAACTCTGTGATTACAATTAGGCGCACATAGTGATAGCGTATCCTCGGGATGGTTGCCATCCGAGAA